TTACTTTTGTAACTAATTATATCTTATATTTGAAAAGTTCATATGATTGATTATTTCTCAACATAGTTGATTAAATTAACAAAATAACCAATTATTTCAAATGGGTAACTAATTATATTTTTGTTATCAATCAATTATATTTTAGTTGTAATGGATTATAAATCAATTATATTTTGCTTTATTTATTCACGTACTCAGCTATGTTATCAAATAACCAAATAGTTTAGGTTTGTATAACCCATTATATTTTAGTTTTTTTTTTTTGAATAAATTTGCAAAGGGTCAAATTCGAACTGTTGCTCTAGGGAAAAAAGAATACACTTATACGTAACCTAACGCCACTGGACTCGAAGGGCCAAGTGCCATTATATTTTAGTTTTAATCTATTATGTTATCAAATAATCAATTAGTTGAAGTTTGTTTAACCAATTACTATATTTTGGTTTGTATTTACCAAAAAAAAAATAATTTGATTTGCAACAAATTATACATCATGTTGTATTTTGATTTATAACCAATTATATATTAGTTTATAACTAATTATGCTTATGTTATACCAATTTTATCAAAGTAAAAATAAGTATAACTAACCATATTTTTTATATAATTGACTATAATCACAAGGAAATCACTTTTTTAAGAGCAACCAAACACAAAAATATTGTACAATTTTGCACCCTAACAGCACAATTTGTCCAGTACAACAATTCTCCTCCCAGCTCAATTCGGCCTAAAAGTCTAACCAAACAGAGCTTAAGAGCTTGTGTGGTTAGAGAGTAAATTTTACTTAAAAAGTTTTTATTATGAAAGTACTACACATAAACTTGATAAATTTAGTAGTAAAGTTTTGTTAAAATTTTGTTTGGTTGTTAATTTTTTTGTATTTGATAGAAAATTAGTATAATAAAAGTTGGTAGAAAAGTTGTCAACTAGGTCCTATACAGAAAAAGTTGGGACAAACTTTTTCTCTTCAAAAAGTGTAGCAAAAATTTTTATAAATTATGAATTGTGTCACAGAAAATAAAAATTTAAAATATTACTTTTACTCTCCTTTTTGCGATAATGTTAATAAGTCAAGATATCTAAATAATTTTATAAGGGAAAAGCTTTCCCCCCAACCAAACAACCTCTAAGTGTTGGATTTATGAGTAAGTATTTTTATAAGTCAAATTTATGATTTAAGTTTTAGGATTTAGTACCTAAAAAAATTAATTTTTTTGAATGTATCACATCAATATGGAGATATACACTGAAGATTACCTTAACAAATTAATCTTAAAATATATAAAAACTTGTTTGAAACCAATTTAAC